GGTATGTATCAGTGTTATTACTAGCTTGATGTCGAAATTTACACTTATAAGAAATAATGAAGATTGTTGTCGCTTAATCGCAGTTTGACACCCAAATAAAGCATGTTAAAACATGTAGTTGCTCTATATTGATTATTGTATGTATATAAATGAGTTTTTCCAGAAATTTTCTAATTCATATATACATAAATAATACTTGCCTCGTGAAAAAATAAAGGGGAAAGTAAAGGAAAAATGAAAAAATGGTCAGAAAAAAGAGTGCGGAGTCTAAACCGAATCATTACCATCCGCCGCAAACGCTCGAGGTCATAAGTGTTGGGATTCGAAGTGTTTTCGAATTTTTTCGGGTGGCATTCGGTTTGGGATACGAGGTAGTATTAAATCCAAAATTTAAAAATGCTCCAAAAAATATCATTTTCGGTTTATTTCGTTAGTTAATTTAAAAATTAAAAAAGATAATGAGTATTAAATGGATTGGAATGGATATATAGTGATAAAAGAATATGTTAGTGACATAGTTGATTTGGGCGGGGCGGGGGGGGGGGGTAAGTTTGTTTCAAAGATGTTCTTTTAATGCTCGATAATACCCATAAATAAAACTTTTATTTAAATATTGTTGACTATCCAAGTTCGAAAATGAACCCAAAATCCACTTTTACTATAGGTAAATAGTAAAAGTGGATTTTTAAAAGTGGACCTCCTAAGTAATGAGGCCCTTTTAAAAAGCCTATCATTGCTTCATCAAATAAATATTTGTTTACCCATAGATGATGGACTTTTTTCGTCTGCAATGCTTTGTGTTGCTGAATAAATAAGTGACAAAACAAACAATAAAATTTTAAATAAAATATTATTGTTTTAGTCGGCATTAGGAAATCTCTTTACCCTTTAAAATTAATAAAGACGCTTGTAAAAAATATTTTTAAAAATATTAAATGCATAATAAATTCTTGCTTGATAGACAGAAAAGGGCAAAAATGTCTTTTTAAAATTTTTATATAATATTGTCGGTTTTTTTTAATGGAAATTTTACAAAAATCAAAAGTGCATTTATAATAGTGTTGTGCCGCGAATACTTGGGGCGGTTACTTGCAAAACCCGGCATTTGCGGAACGTGCCATGCGGGAAGTCAATGGCCACCGAACTAAAAGTGATAAAACAGCCGATCATAGAACTTTGTCCAATAATGTCAGATGTTGCTGATTTTGTTGTCTCTAGGTCCAGATCAACGAGCTCATTCGAATCAGCTATCATTTGCTTTTTAGAATTTTTCAAGCAAAAATTGCTTTCCCTCTACTGGTTTTAAATTTTTAGAGATCAACTTATATTCCGGTCTAGAATTAATTTCTAAAGAAGATTTGGTGTAGAACTCGCCGAAAGTTCCGGTTCCGGCCAAATTTGTGGTTCCAGAGAAGCATAGTAATTTCCTTTTATCTGCCGACAAATATATTTTTTAATATATAAAGTACGGTCAAAATATATGAACGGTCAATAAATTTTAAATATGTTAAATGTTAAAACAAAATATGTTAAAACAAAAAAAATTTAACATATTTTACGGAATTGGAGTGAAATTGAGGAAGGAAAAAAGTTTGACCGTTCTGTATATATGAAGAAAAAATAAAAAGGTATAAAAAGAAAATGAAAATATGAGCCGATAACAGAAAAGTACTAAAATTAGTATTGAACTAGTACAATTAGTATTGTACTAGTACAATATTAGGAAAAATAAGTTCTGAACGAAAGTATCAAATTCCAAACATTGAATAAAACTTGTAAAGATTTTTAATTGAGAGAATAGACAGTAAAAAATTTTATTTTTCAATAATTAATAAAAAAATTTAACTTTAAAGACTGTCAATGAAAATCTGTCAATAAATTCAATTTAAATTTTACTTTTACCTCTCCCTCGATGTCTTTCTTTTACTTAATAAAAAATAAAAAGTGCATTATTGACTAATTATTGAGAACATGCATTTAAATTAACATTAATTTTTAATTTTATCTTTAAATTTAAAAAATTATTTAAATTATTTATTATTTAAATAAAAAACTACCGCAGTAATTTTTAATTTTGCGTAAATATATTTGACCTTATAAGATACATAGTATAAGAAAAATTTAAATATATTTTTTAATTAAATTAACGCAAAACTTTAGCCAAAATTTTTTTAGAAACAAAAAAAGACAATCTTATTCGTGTATGGGGAAGGGGCAAGTTATTTTAAGGTTAAAAATTCTATATTTCAAGAAACATTCAGTTATTAACATCCTCGAGTCAGGCTAAAAAATGACATTTTTCTAAATAAGCTTAAAGAGCTCATTGAAATTTAATAATAAAACATAATAAGTTGAAAGCGTCTCAACGATCCCCATATCACTATTAATTCTGCCAAATTCCTAAATATCCACTTTAATCTTTTCATATCTCAAACCTAAAAACCGATCGATAGTAATAAGAATCGTAGTTTTAAACTCCAATTGAATTATTTGTAAAAACTATTTTAGGGCATTTCTATGATCTTTTTCCGCTTACCGATTATTTTATCATTTATTTTGGCATTGTTTTATTTATTTCAAGGTAAATACTATTTTTTCCTTTATTAGCTAAAATAAGCTGAACATTAAATGAAATAAATTTCTGAACAAAAGTCTTATATTAATATCATGTAAACATTAAATTTTACATAAAAAATAATTTTGTGAAAAGTAAATACCATAGATCAAGACTCAATTCGATTTAATTGAAACAAGTTTATTTAAGAGGTTTTAGTTTTAAAAGTAGAAAATGTATCATTAAGGTCTAGAGTTGATTGATAATTGCTTTTAAAATAACATAATTGAAATTAAGAATTCAATTTATTATGGATTATCTTATAAAAATATTACAGGATCCTTGGTTAGCTGCTCAGGAGCATCAACATCTCAAGCAAGCCAACAACGTTGTCATTGTGGAGCATATCTAACTAGTCAATTTGTCGACAAAACTGTTAGCAAGTATAATCTGAAAGTTATTGAAGACGAAAAGATAGGAGAAGGTGCTTTCAGTGTAGTAAGTCTATTATTATTTTAACAACCGTATCTCTCTCATAGAATGGAACATACCTATTTGCATGAAAGCCATAACCTTTTGTGGGCAAATAAATTATTTTTTAAATAATACCAGTTTTATTAGGATTGTTATTAGATTGTAAAACGACCAATATAGCCTTGATTTTTGGGAATCCTGGGGTAAAAATAAATAAATACTATTATACACAGCAACATAAAATAGGCAGTGGGTGCAACCTGCATTTCAGTACGGGAGTAAGGTTTAGTTGGTTAGTGACAGCGAAAAATGGAAGGGATTCGAATCCTTTGAGCGAAAATGAATTATATAAAGTTAAAATCTGAATAATATCTTTCCTATTCAACATCTAATCGCATTTTAAACTAAAATACATTTTTTAAATAAGTTTTTCCTAAATTTAGATATAAAACCATATAACTTTTTTTAAACATATTAAAAAATGATAAATTTGGTTTTAAAACAAAGATTGGATAATGTTTAACGATTTGGCTAAGATAACTTTTTTCTTAAAGTTTTTTTCGAGATAAAGCTTCTCGAAGTTGAACATCAGGGCCGGTATCATAAGAGCGTGGTTGCTGGTTAGGTGACCTACCAGCGCCCAACTTTTCCCCTATAATTTAAAAAGAAGAGAGAAATGGCTGCGCCGAAAAAACAGGGAAGAAAAGAAAGAGGAAAAGTATACGGTGGTTTTTCTCTTCTTTTCTTCTACCCTGCTAAGGGGCAGGGTAGAATATTTTTTAAAAAATCAATAAAAAGCGAATTTTGATGGAAAAATTATAAATTTATGAGAATTTTTTTAAAAAAGTACCTCATTTTTCAGTGATTTTTTAGGAAAAAGTAGTACCTTGCTTGGAAAATCATAACTTTTAAATAAATCGGTCAAAATTTTTGATTTTTTGTCAAATCATAGCTATCACTCCGATCTATATTTTAGAAAAAAAATAAAATTTTTACCTCGATTTAAAAAAAAGTTATGATTTTTCTCATAAATAGGGAGAAATGAGAAAAAACGGCGACGCCAAACCCGCGGCGTAGGGTCAGCTCGGCGCTGCCTTTACGATGGTTACCTAACCACCTTCTTATGATACCGGCCCAGATCTTTAGAGAAATAGCCGCAAAAAAATAGAGCGTAGAAGAAAAAGAAAAGATATTTATTTATTTCAGTGCAGCTGAAATGGCTCTTAGCTGAAGGTTATGTTGCTGTGTTATATACGAGATATTATTTTTGATAATTTAAATACTGGGGCCGAGGCTACCTTTGGCAAAGGGAGTGAGTTTTTGAAGCAGAATTTATCCCAAGAAGTGGAAAATAAAAAAATTTTTATAGGTTAATCATGCAATGTTTCACAATCAAAATGAATTTTGTTTTGCATTGAAAACAACAAAACGTTGGGCAGCGTCTATTTTAAATACAAGAGAACTTGATGTTTTGAAATATTTTAAAAATATAAGACAAAATCAACATCCTAATATTATAAAAATGCACAAATAGTAAGTAGTACTTGTGCAGGTTACTGGTTAACTAGTGCCATGTTACCGGGTTATGCAAAATAAAGATTGTATTTTAATTTAAAATAACATCAGATGTGAATTAGGAAACGTATTATTGAGATTTTCATTCTAAATAGCTTATTTCCGCTGAAAATATTCTAATCTCCTGCATTTTTGGGCACATAAGCCGCACTGACATTGTAAGCATTGAAACCGAACTGACTCCCTGGTTGTAATCTGTTTATCTTACTTTGATTTAAAATAGGTTATGATTCCATAAATTTTTTTAGTCTTATAAATCCACAAACGTGGGCATAAATAAAAAGAAAATGAAGAAAATGAATCTTATAGTTAATTAATGAATTTGACCTGCAGATTTAATTTTAAATAAATCTACTTCTTAAGATTATATAAATAAAGAAATTTGAAAATATTTATTATTAAAATTTTTAGTGTAAGAAAAACTGAAAGTGTGATTGTCATGTTGGAGCTTGGGGGACAGAAGTTAAAAGATTATTTTGATAAATGGAATGGGCAAAATACAAACAAAGAGAAGTTAATTAGCAAACTCATTAAAGGTGCGGCTATAGCACTCGAACAATTCCATAAACGTTAGCAATTTTAATAAATTATTTTTATAAATATAATATATTTGTAGATGGTTTTCATATGGATGTTCACGAAGGTAATTTTCTCGTAGCTCTTAATCCAGACCAGTCTGAACAAAATCCGAATATGAAAGATAGTCGGGAAATTAATTGCAAGCTTATAGATTTTGATACTTCTATTATTAATGCTGAAAATCATTTTCCTTTATTTGATATTATGGCGATAGGTAACATTGCTCCAGAAATACGTGGCCATATTCGTGCCAATGTGAGTCAATTTTATGTTTTTTAAGGATAATTATTTATAAATAATTAATTATACAAAATAATTATAGTTATTAATTAATTATACGTAAATAATAAAATGTTCAATATGATTTTATTTAAAATTACATTAATTAAGATAACCGATAAAGCAGATGTTTGGGCATTTGGCTTAATGGTTAATCGATTATACAACAACATACAATATTTAGGTTATACATAAATTAATAACTTTTCTCAAAAAATATTCAATAAATCATTTTACTATCTTCTCACAAATAAAGTTTTCGGTAAAATTAAAGGCGGTTAACATTTTTCATTACTCTAAAGTTTAAAGAATAAACTCCGTTCCAAAAAACCTCTACAACCCAAATTTTTCGGAAAATCGACTTACGGGCTTTTATTTTTTTATAAACTTTTTATATCTTGATTCATCAGCAGAAACTACCTAATTTTACAAAAAATTTTAGCAAATATATGAAAAAAGTGTTTTCGACGTCGTTTTTTCTATTTTGTATCATTATTGGTAGTTAATAGAAATTTTTGTAAAATTTTGGCTGCCTTCTTTCCGTAATTATCGGTATTTTTACAATCTATCTAAGGATATTTGGAACGCCTGATTTATTAAAAATTTATCACAACTTTACATAAAATTATCGGTTTGCTAAAATTTTTTGTAAATTAGGTAGTTTTTGCTGATGAATCAAGATTTAAAAATTAAGATAAAGTAAAAGCCCGTAAGTCGATTTTACAAAAAATTTGGGGGTGTCGAGGTTTTTTGGAACAAACTTTAAAGTGGCGTCTTTTAAAACACACAAATACTAAATAACGAATAAAAAATTTATAAAATAGGAAAAACAAAATTGTTTTTACATGGTCTCTTGTGGAATTTTACTTTTTCTTACTTAATTTTCATTAAAACACTTATCAATAATTTTTATTCAACTAGATGACTATAGTATGCTTGACGAAGTTTTGGAATTTCAAAGGAATCTTACTCCACAATTTGATGTGAATCTAAATTCACGTTTGAATCAACTTATTAAAGTAAAGGCAAACTAAATATGTATATTTATAATTTATAAAATTTTCTCTTCTTGTATTGACATTGATTAGCTAAAAAATTAAAATATTTATAGGCTTGCATTCAATTAGAACCAGATGATCGTCCAAGTATGGCTGAAATTGTGGCATTTCTGGATGGACGTATTTCTCATTTTAAATATGAAAGTAGTGGTGTTGAACAAGAACGTATAGGTCATGAGCATCGTGCAAATGAAGGACAAGTAAATGAACAAATTGAAGATCTGGGTCGAGAAAATAATCAAAGTCCTCGTGTCCGTGGTTGCTTTGGATGGTGTTGAAATTTCATTATTAGTTAATGTTAAGTTATTCGAAATTTTTTTATTTAAAAATTAAAAAAAATCTTTTTGTCTTATGATTAAGCCTTTGGATGATTATCGCATATATAATCGAATTTTTGACCGCAAAAGCTTGGGCCTCCTAAATTATGGACCTGTCCAAGGGATCTACACACTTAAAAGTTGACTGCTCTACTCTGCAGTTTATGAATGACATTGATCTTTGATTTAACTATATTCGTATTTTTTGACATTATGAAAATAATTTTTTACATACTAAAAATATTAAAATCATAATACTGAACCAATGGAACTAAAACAGACGATCATATAACTTTGTCAAATCATGTCGGATTTTGCTGATTTTTGTCTCTAGATGCAGCTCGACTAGCTCTTTTGAATGAGCTATCATTTGCTTTTTCGGGTATTTCACCAAAAATAGTCTTACTCCCCCAGCGGGTTTTCAATTTTTAAAGACCTATGTCTCGGTCCAGAATAAATTTCTAAAGTAGTGAGTGGTGGCTTTCGGCTCAGCTTGTCGAGACGAAACGAAAGACTTATGTCTCGATCAGGACTATTACCAACGTTACATTCAATACAGCCGAACAATTAATACATGTATTCAATTTCCAGTTTAAAATACTATCAATCTAATTAAAAAATTGTTATCAAAAAATATAGTAAATTATCAAAGTTAATAGAATCAAAGCCATCATACTATTTTCGTGCTTATTTATTGAGCAGTTGAACTTGGAGAAAAACGATGTTCTGTGACATTAATAAAAGAAGTAGTAGGTTTCTCTGTAGTTGATTCTGTGGTGGTTGTCGAAGATACCAGACTAATTGTTTTTGCTCCAGCCGTTGTTGCTGATAGGGGAAGCAAAGATTCCTCATTACACAAATCAGTGTGATTACACGTTATACAATTTTCGTATATTGCAGGGCATTCACCACAGTTTTGTTCAACTTAAAATTAATTTTCAAATCGAATAAGTTAAGAAAAGTCCGAAAAATCATGTAGAAAAAAGTTTTATTCAAAATTTTCCTACTCCTCCAGAAGATGTCCCTAGCAATATAACAACTGTCATAGGAGGGATGGCATGTCTTAGCTTTTCTCGCATCTGGCCGTTGATTAGTAGCAAGTTTGTAACATTTAATCTGAGATAGTTTTGTTTCATCATTACAAAGTGGTTGTGAACAATTAAAGCATTTTGATAGATTTTGTTTGTCAGAACATTTGCCACAGCCTTGCACTTAACATTGTTAGGAATGTTAATTAGAGAACTAACAAAATAAAATTGGTATGTATCAGTTATCCTGTACTATTTCTAGAATGTTCATGCCCACAACATTTCCTTTCTAATGTACTTATAAACCGCTCTTTTGTTGACGGCAGATTTTTTGTTAATGGCAATAAAAAGAAAAATTTGACTAGAAGAAAAAGCCGCGCCGAGCTTCCAATTTGCGGACCCAAATTTTGTGGCCCTGAAAATATGCTGATTCGAAACTTGAGTATCAAAATTTTTCTGATATTAAATTTGCGGACTATTCGCGGACCGAAATTAAGTATCTTGGCCTTAAGAAATGCGCACTGATAACCGACAAATACCAAAAATTTTAATTTACCCTTTTCTCCTTTATTAATCCCAACAAAGCATAATCCTTTCTTACAAACTCTTTTTCCTTTCGTTGCTGTCCATTTGTTTAATTCTTTTTCCCAACAAAACAAATGACTTTCAAAAAATGTATCTGCATTACAAGCTGGTTTATTGTTACATTGGGCGCATTGAACATTACTCATATTTATTTTCTTTATTTTGTTTTGGAGTGTTGTATCTTTAGTCTTGATGTAGGGAGAAAGATTGAGAATGCCTGATGGACATTTTCCACAATCATAGTGGAATTGGTCTATCTTCTCTTCTAAATATTAAGGTTTATATTGAAGAAAGCCTGCCCTTAGAGTTCGAAGGTTTCGGGATCTGAGTGACAGCATGGGTAGTGTCGGGGAAAAACCAAGAGTCAGAAACCTCTTCTTTTAGAATCGAGAAAATGGCAAAACTCTTTTTTAGCATCGGAAACGAAAATTTATGTATTCTAGTGATAGTAGTTTGCCGGTGTAGCTTTCGTGGTTCAGCTCGGTCATTATAAGGGGGATGGCGTGTTCCCTAGTTTAAAGAGAAACATGTACTTAACATACCTCCATTCTTCTTTTCAATCTTAGCAATATAACAGTCAGATTTGTTACACTTTCTAAAACTATTCATAAATCCAAAGCAATAGAAAGGATCTTGATTATTACAAAGATGCTCATTACATTCTTCACATGTATGGAAAGGGCACTTTCCACATCCTTTTTTAACTTTAAAAATTTTTTTTAACTTTAAACAATTGTAGAGTTTAAACCCTCATTTGTTGATGTTCTCAATGTATAGCAAGGATTTTTAGTTTTACACTTTTCATTTTTATTTGTCCAACAAAGCTTGGCAACCTTGTCTTCAGTATTACAATAACGGTCTGTACATGCAATACAGTCAATTTTGTCGTTCTTTATGCACTTTCCACATCCTTGTGTTACTAAGAAAAAATAATAATTTAATTCACATAAGGTCCGACCTCACTATAAGTTATCAACTTGGGGTACTCAATCTTATAAAGAAGGGTACCTTTAATTGGGGATTTCACTCAGGCAGCTTCTTTTCTCCGCCAATGGCTAACTACATTGTGTAAGCATCAAAGGTGTAATCCTTGAGAAAGTGATAGAAACAACGCTTAGAGAGAAGGTGCATATAAGCTAAAGGAAAATAGGGAAAAGCATCTTAGTTGATGTCCATTCCAATTTAGTTCTTCATTACTCATGGCCTAGTGTTCGGTCGGCTATAAGCCTGACCAATAACCAATAATCATTCACCCCGCTCGCTTGCACTACCTCTGGGAATTCTATTCACCGCACGCATAATCAACATCTCTCTTAATTAGGGCTGGCCCCTCTAATTAATAATTTACTATTGTAAATGTCTCTTAAATAGAGGTTTATCCACTAAATTGAGTGCATCTTATATGAGAGAATAAATGTAAAAATTAATTCCCTACCATTCCCAGTTGTAAAATTCCTCGAAACAAAACATTTGTCTCTACAAACTCTTGCTCCTTTAACTAATTTTGTTTCATTCTCCGACTTCTCAAAACAAAACAATTGTTTCTCCAAAAACTTTTCAGTATTACACAAAGGACCCTTATTGCATTCTGCACATTGAATTCCACTTAAATTTGTTCCAGGCAATCTTTTGGAGAGAGACACATTAGATGTATTTTTAAAGAATTCGTTGTTGACTGGACACTTTCCACAGTCGTAATAGAATTCATTAAGATTATTGACTGAAAATGAAAGCTTTATAGTAAGAGCGAGAAAAGTTTAATCCGGACGGCATCGATCCTGCGCCTTCCTGGAAGATTTTACAAGCGCCTTTGCTCACCAAATAAGGGTGCTCAACATAGCAATGAGTTAACCACCTTTTTAAATAAATCTTGAACCTATGAACCTTCTGAGCATTATAGATGCTTCCCTGCTTTATCTCCCTCCTTCTTACAGTACTTACATTTATAATTTTTATATTTATTAGCTTTTCGATTGAGTTTTCCGCCTTCATAAGTAAGAATATCCCTCGCCTATTTGTTTCAACATTATCAGCCCCTATATTATGAATTAATAGTCACCGAAATATATCCTTATTTAATATTACCTTTATTATTATTATTCAATTTTAAAATGTAACAGTCATTTATACGGCATTCTTTAACTCCATTAATTCCTTCAACACTTTTACAATAATAAGTATCAGTCCAATTATTACAACGATTATCTTGACATTCTCCACACGATGTAGAATTACACCTTCCACATCCTCTGTTTTCTGAAGAGAAAATTTGTTTTTAAATTTATTTAGTAATGCCTGTGTTATTTTCCATTCTCTCCACAAAACAAGGAGTTTCAAACGATGTTTTACATACAGTCCCATTGTTACCCCAACATTGTTTTGGGACAAGACTTTCGTTATTGCAATATTTTGTGTTACATTCTACACAGTCTGTGTCAGTTGGACATTTGCCACAGTCTTGTTTAACTAAAAAATTTTGATAATATGAGTAAATAAAGATTATATGACAGATATTTGAGGACCAGCTGAGCATTTTTGGATTTTTAATTTTTGTTTATTTAATATTTATTTTTCCAGCGACACATGACGATTTGACTTTTGAGGACCCGACATTTGAGGACTGACTTTGAGGACGACTCAAACGTCGTATCCTCAAGGGTCGCATCTTCAAAAGTGGTCCTCAAGTGTCGTGTCCTCAAAAGTCATATCCTTAAGTGTCGTGTAGTGATTACGAGGTATTTTCATGATTAAAGGGATAACGTTGGATTGTTCCAAATCCCTTCCAAATAAGGGATTTGGAAGGATTAAGAGAAGATCCTCAAATGTCCTGAAACTATCTTCATCTTCAAACCTTTTCCAATTTTGTCTCTCAATACAATACATGAGGCACCACAAACTCTCGTCATTCCAAAAGGTTTAGACATATCTTCTGTTTTCGATAAACAAAACTTTGATTTGTTGATAAAATCCTCAGTGTTACATAATGGACCTGTATCACAGTCTACGCACTTATTTTTAGGGTGCAAGACATCACATTTACCACAGCCGTAATCAAATGCTAAATATATATTTGAGGGCATAAATATTTTGAGGCCATATATTTATTTGAAGCCATATATTTGAGGCCATATTTGGGGAACATATTTGAGGCCAAAGTTAAGTCACTTTCGTGAGGAAGTAATCTCTATCTCTAGCGTCTTTGAGCTATAACTTGACCCATGTTCGTTACACTATATACATATGGAGGATTCAATATATTAAATTCCTGTGTTACATAATTGACCTGTATCACAGACTATATGCTAAAGCTATTTTTTGTTTAAATAAATCTCTAATCTTCATTAATTTAGGCTATCTTT